AAAATTTTATTATAAAAATTAATTTTAAAAAAATTAATGCAGGCAAATTTGCCTGTGTTACAATCTAAGGGATACTATCAAGAGATAAATATAACTATTGTAACATGTTTTTAAATATTTCAATTCAGAACCCTATTATACTTGTATACAGCCACAGATATCATAAACATTATCTTAATATATTTTTTTAAAAATATTTTTATTATCAAATTTTTCTTAAAAAAGATATTCAACTAAATATTTCTTCTTTAATCACATAACTAACAAAACAAAACATCAAGGATCTTGTAAAAGATGATCAAGAATCTAAAGGTTGAAAAAAGACAAAAGATACTGATGCAAAAAATTTGTCTTCAGAAGATAATATCCTTACACAGTTGGAAAAGAATAGAAGTGTATTAAATAAGATCAAAGAGGCTTGTAATATAGCTTTGGATAAATTTTTAAAAGTCTAATTATATTTAATGTATTTTTAATATATCAATAAAGCAAAATATATATGGTTTGCAATAAATATAGATGCGTATCTAACCTTTTTTTCTAAAAATTTTTTTTTATTATTTTTTGGCAAATATTTCGTTATTGCTACATTTCTTATTACATTTCTTATAAGATTTTTCCGATTATATAATGTATTTTTGTATTTGATAGAGTTAAAAAAAAATTTAGCAATTATTACGACAAATATGAAATTTAAATTTCGCTAACTAAATGTCATAATAATATTATTAAAGGCGGCAAGAAATGTCATAATAATTCAGTAATTCTTTAACATATAACGGGTAATAAATTTTATTAAATAAGCAACGGCCAATCATCTTAGATTTTTCTGTTGATCTAATCACGTGGTGATCGACAGTCAACAGCCAATCATTCGATTGTCTGCTATGCTGGTAATATCTGATATCTCAAAATTTCAATTATGAAACCACCTTTTGGCTTCTAACAAAAAAAAAAATTCTTTGCGAATTTTGGTATAAACTATAACCCCCAAACCCATACTTACCCTAACCATAAGTAAGGGTTTAATTTTCGTTCGCAAAAAATTATGATTGACATGTTACACGAATTTTAAATTACAGAATTAATAAAATTAATGCATACATTTATGGATGGGCAAAGTAATTTTGTAAGTAATAATGACCTATAACTTATCCTTTACTTAATATTAAATAATAATAATATTTATTACATTCTATTACTTATTATGTATAAATATAAAACACATGATAACAGTCGGAGGCGAGTGATCAAAATTGAGATTGAACGAAAAATTGCTGCTAAGAAATAAAATTATTATAAAATTACTTATTATCGTTATTACCTATTTCACAGTAATATTAAGTAATATTAAGTAATAATATGTAACTGACTTAGCCCATCTCTATATACAATAAAATTAATGCTCGTGTATTATACAATTATATTTTAAAACATATGTCCAATGCCAACACTGGTTCCCCGGATATTCTACTACTGTACTTGTAAATTTTATTATAATACCTCATATCGATATAGACTTGATGATTTAGTATATGAAATACTCCAATAAATTATAAAATATTCTACAAAATTAAAGCAATGTTGTTACTTGGCCATTTGGCCGGTCAATGATCGAATTGAACAAAAAAAAACCATATAGAACAGCTAGCAATATGATTGGTTAATACGTATTATATAAGTTGGTCGAAAAAGATCACTTTACCGACAGTCATTTAACCAACATCATTTAGGGTAACAATTGTCACGTTATGTGATGTCGGTTAGATGTAAAATGATTGTCAGTGACCCTGCCTAGCCTATCTTCGTCACGTTCACATGAAGTGTGTCAGCGCAAACCAATCAAATTATGGACCAAAAAATAAATTTATTGAATTTATAGGAATAAATAAAAAACAAAAGAGTGCGAGCGAACAAAACTTAATGACTAAACAATTAAAATCCGATAAAAGAACGCACCAAAACCCGATGAAACAATCTAAAGAGGAACGCAATGACAAAAAAAAAAAAAAGCACACTAACTCACTAACGCGGGAATGTAAAGAGCAGAAAAATAAAATTTCATTAACCACCACTTCGGCAAGCAAGTGTTGTATAGCGGTTAACATGTCACATTATGTTTTAAAAAGGCTGGTTGCAGCTCAGTCCGATGGATCAAGCATGAAAATTAAAGTCGCAAAGGATATTAAAAATATTGTACGTTTTTCATATCGTCGTTATATCGACTTTGGATTAGAAACCCGTTAGAAACGGTTCTGGAGTGTTATATGTTTTGCTTACATTTAAAGATATTTTTTCTACCTATATCATTATTAAATTTAACACATTTAAAATAGGAAATTACACTTAATGGAAAAGATAAATTCCAATTCACAAAAACACCTTTGGAAAAATTATCAAAAATTCTTTTGTTGGCCGGAAATCAAATGGAGATAGTTGGAAATATTAAACACCAAGTTACAAGTACAAAAGATTCGAATAGCAAAGCAATGAAGGATTTGGCGACTAAAAAGATGAAAACTGCTTACAAAGAAGAAAAAATAAAGAGGGAACAAAAAAAGTGATTGTTATTGCATAATGCATGTTTGTTTTTATGAATAATATTAATGATTTTTCGGTTTAATTTGCTAGAATACAAGTTATAGATCCACTACCAGATCCTGATGTGGTGAAACTGAAGAATCAAAAAACCAATCGTAGTAAACGAAAGGATGTGGGTGTGTCATATTGTGTACCAGCTTCATCGTCGTTTCTTTCAAACGATGATACGTCAGGTGTCCCACTTAGGAAGAGAGTCGTTCATCTAATTGCAGCCACTGAATTAGACACTGATCAATTAAATACTGATCAGATTGTGAAAAAAGTTAAAGACAGTAAAGAAAATGTTCAAAAAGTATTGGTTGAGGTAATTGCTTTACACCTAGATTAATTGATTTATAATTTTTTTTTTAGTTCTAATTATTGTTTATGCAGGTTGCAGAACAGACAAAAAAAGGAACTTGGAAACTTACGCCCAACGCCTGGTTGACACTCGAACCGTACACGTGGTTTAGTTATGGGCAAAAGGTGGTTAGTGGCGTTGTTCAAAAAATGAACGAAGTCGCAGACTTATTGGGTTTACCTCAAGATTCACCTCAACGACCTCGCCAACCGAAACTTACTCTCCCCTCTAATCATTCTACAAATATTGATGTTGGAGAGCCTTCGTTTAGAAAACGTCTCAAGATTGGGTCAGGATCATATTCAGAAGTTCTGCAAAACAACGATATTTCGCTTTCTGGATCTTTTAGGGGTACCAAATCTACACGAGGGAAAGGTCCAAAGAGACGGGCTGCTAAAACTTTGACCAACTTACAGAAACATGACGATGATATAGAACCCGATCCTAAAAATATTCCATCAACTCGTGGTACCAAATCTATTCGAATTCGCAGTAGTAAGACAACAGCAAATGCAAATCCTTCTATTACAGCTGATCCAGTTACAAGTCATACAAATCCAACTCGAGCCAAAAGGGGAAGACCGGTAGGCTCGAAAACCTCTCGTGTTAGTAAGACATCTTTGAAAGGCACAACAGCGTTGTCAAGTGTTGCACCATCTAAGCAGGAAACAAATGAGTCTAATGGTCATCCATCAATAAATGGCGTTAACAATGAAACCAAACAAAGCCAATACCGAGTCAATACTTTATCTGAATTTCGAGAACTTATTGACGAGTTTAAGGCTAAACAAGATGAATATAATGAGCTAGATGAGAAGTTACAAGGTTGGCTTTCATTATATAAAGAATTGGATCTTAGCCTCCGCAGTGCTAGACAATCCCGTGAAAAACCTATTATAAATAGAATTATGGAAACGTTCGGTAGTGGAAGTGAAATTTTCGCTCTAGTCGAGCAGTTTAATGCTATTGAAGAAGAGTTGTGCCAAATTTCAACTGAGGCTTGGCGGGCAGCTAAAGAAGGTATCTTGGATGAATAAGCATATATCTCAAATGGTATATTTAGTCAAGTACTGCAGCAAAACGTTGTTATTATTATTATTGTTTAATTCATTTTTGTTGGACGTTACAGTATAATTAACGAATAAAGACATTTTACGTGTGATTAACGATAAAGACATTTGAAATATTGGATTTAGATTGTTATTTTATAAAAACGTTATATAATTAAAATTTGATTAAAAATAAATAAATAAATAAACTAATAATATTATATAATAGTTCTAATCGGAATTGGAGACCTGATTATTGTCAAAGATAAATAGTTTAAAAAGAATACATTGTTCAATGGTCTTTTGGCACTATGTATGTTAATATTAACTTGAAGATTAATAATACTGTAATAAAAAGATAAAAGGCAAAATAAAGTTGTTTTATGAATCAAATATTTGTTTTATTTAATACAAATTTACTCTATTTCTATTATTTCTTTGTCTTCTGAATAAGACCCATTTTAGTTTTCTTTGGTTATTTCTTTTAGTTTAACCTTGGGATGTAGATTGTTTTTTTTTTTCTTATACCTTATCTTTTTACTTGCTAGGTTTTTTACAATTTTGCTCTCTAACTTTTTGAACTATTTTGCTATTTTATCTGTTGATTTTATGTAGTACACTGGCGATCATAAATAATGCAACAAAAAAAAAAATTTAGTCGGATGGTATTATCTCACGCAATTCCGGGCGTA